ACACCCACTGGGGTGGCTGTTATCAAACACTTGGATCATAACAAGTTTTGACAGAAATGTGGAGAAACTGGAATCCTCGTACGTTGCTGTTGGGAATGTAAAATGGTGCAGCCCTAGTGGAGAAGTTTGGTGGTTCCTCGGGAAGCTGAACAGTTACATATACCCAAGAGAATGGAAAGCAGGCGTTCAAAGGAGTGAAGTTCTGATTCAGGCTCCCACAGTGTGGATGCACCTTGACAGCACTTGTGCTAAGTGAAAGAAGCCAGTCACGAAAGGACAAGTATTTGCATGTTTCCACTTTTATGAAATATCGAAAACAGGCAAATCTGCAGGGACAGAAAGCAGGTTTGTGGTGGCCAGAGGCTGGGGGAATGAGGAATGGGAGTGAGTGCTTAAGGTATGGTGTTTCCATGAGGAGACAAACAGGTTCTGGAAGTGGGTGGTAGTGAGTGCACTAGTGGCACTGAACTGTGCATTAGGACACGGTCGAGATGGCAAGTTCTGTGTTATGTGTATTTTGCCACAATTAAAAGAAAACAGTGATGCCAGCTGCAGTCCCCTCCAGGGGCACTGGGCGTAAGACAGGCTTGTTGCAGTTCTGGAGGTCTCTAGAGTCATCTCCAAATGGTGATCTCGGTGGTGTTTCCAACGTACTGAGAGCTTTGAAAGATAATGCACGGCCCCGGCATCTCTTGCCTCCAAGCTGCAGGGCTTGGTGGGATGCAGAGGGTAGGGACTAGGAGGCAATGCTTAGAGATGGAGGAGGACTGGGGACGCTGGGAGGCGGGCAGCCTGTGGTCGGTCTGGAGGCTGGGCTGGGTTCAGAGAGGGATCCACCCGAGGCTCATGCTTTGCGGACACCAACTCCTACATCCAGCTTCGTATCTGTTTGTCCGCAAACTGGGAAAACCAAAGAATTTCCCGAGGGAGGGCATTGGAGGGGTGCAGCAGGGCAGGGAGGGGTGCCCTACAAAGAACTCCTGCTGCAGAGGGGTTGGACACAGTGCAGGTTAAGGGAGGCCAGCTGGGGTTCACATCCAGCCATGCCACTGCTGGGTGCCCTTGGGCAGCTCTCTTAACCTCTCTGGGCCTCACTTTCCCCATCTGTTAAGTGGGGATAATAGCACCTGCCTCAAAGGGTGGTGTGAAGAGCAGATGAGGTCAACAAGTGAGGGGCTCAGCGGCGCTTGGTGCCCAGTGGGCACTCAATGAATGACAGTGTCGTTGTTGGTGAAATGCAGAGAGCACCCCCTTTATTTGGACCAAGGGTGGGCTGTTGGGTTTGAAGTCAGGGCTGGATGAGATGATCCTGAGGCCAGTGGCATCCTCACAGGACTGGCAGTGTCTGGGTGGATGCAGAGAGACTCCCAGAGGCTTCTGGTGGCCTGGGCTGCACTATTTACAGTTAAGAAGTGGAGGGGCGGAGGGTGTTGGGGAGATAGGGAAGGAAGGCTGGGAGGCAGGAGGACATACACACCCTCATAGCTCCCACCCAGCTGGACTCAGCAGCTGGACACTGGTTGGGCCATCTCTGGGCTGGTCCCATTTTCCCCTGGGACACATCCTCAACCAGACAGTCTAAAACACTGAGGCCTCTTTGCTACCCCCTCTCCCCAGCTGTTTTATCAGTCCTGGTCTCCCCAAATTCAAGCCTAGTGACTTTAGTCAACTGAGGGGGTAAAAAGAGCCCTGGACTTGGAGCCAAAGGACTGTTGATCTCAGGTGAGTCTCCAGGCCTCAGTTTCCTCAGCTGTAAAATGGGCTAGTTCCTACCTCCATTAGCTAGTTGAGGGTTAGATAAATGTTTTAAAGGATTCGGCGGAATGCAAAGAGATCTACAAATGCCCACAATGAAAGAATTATTATCTGGATTCCCAAACCTCCCTCCCTTCCTAATAAGTGTATTTCCCAGATCTGACTCCCTCCCCAGTCCTGGTCCTAGGGGTCTGACCCGGCAGCAGCAGGGGACTGAGGAGGCTGGAGGGGAAGCTGAGGATCCCGCCGCCCCTGCCCCCTGCAGGACCCTATTGTCACATTCAGGGAGGCGGGGAGGGGGAGCCAAAAATGGAAAATCAACCCACACTGTGGTTTCCCTCCACTGCTGATCTGCGCCTAGGAGGGTGCGTCCCCAGGAGAAATGGACTCAGGGAGGGCAGTTTTGGGGGACTGTGGTCTTTGGCTTGAGAGAGGGGCCTGTACCACAGTGACCCCACCCTGCAGCTTCCCAGCCCCTCCCTGAAGTGTAGTGACCTGTGTGTCTGTTGGCCCATAGAACCACCCCCACCCCCAAGGGACCTCTCTTCCCACTCCACCCACAGGCCAAACCTCAGGGCAGAATGACCTTCAGAAATCCTGTTGGGGGCCTGCCTTCACCCTGGTCCCGGAGCCCAGAACACACACGGGCCGTGGAAGGGTTACACTCTGGGCACCTGCCCTGGCATAGGAGCTGCAGTTCTTTGGGGCCCAGATGTTCCCAGCTGTGCTTGAAGCAGCCCCTCTGCCCTTACAGTCTCTGGATGGGAGGGGTCCCAAGGCTCCTCGGGACCAGCCCCTGCCTGTGCAGGGACACCTGTAGCTCCTCTGATGACGGCAGCCTTGGAGGTGGCTCCCACGGCCTTCCAAGCGCTGAGCTCTGAGCTGAGCAGCTGGTGGCTGGCATTGGGGTGCTGCTCATCTGCCCCTCACACCGGGCCTAGGGCCAAGTGCACAGTAGGTGCTCAGAGGGAGCCCATCAACTAAAGCCACCAGGAGGCTCAAGCAGGAAAGGGGGCACCGCCCCTGTCGCCCCCTCAAGGAACCTTATGTATGCAACCCCCTCAGAGTCCCCCAGCCCATCCGTGGGAGGCCCCACCCCCACATCCCGACATTTCCCAGGAAAGCCTCCCTTTCTCACTTCTCCTTCATGGAGTGGAACGCAGAGTTGAGGAAGATGCCTTCATGTGGCCATTCGAGACCCATCAGCCACTTACGGTCCCTCCTGCCAGCCAGGACTCTTTCTGGGGCTTCTCCCCCGTTACTCTGGAAGCTGTTAGCCTGTGTCCCCTGGTCCCCTCCCCATGTCTTCCCCGTCTCTCTACTTAAGGGGACAGAGCTGGAGTTGGCAGAGCAGGGTCCCCTCATGGCCTTCAGGGACACCCGCAGCTCCTCCCTGGGCCAGACCCCCACCCATTGCACCTCCCTTCCCTGCAGGGAGCTTCAGGGCTCTCGGTACCCGTCATCCTAGCCTGTGCTGGTGTCCGACACCACCCGCCCTGTGTGCACGTGTGGTCAGAGACCCCGCGGCAAGGCCCAGCTGCCCTGGCCCTGTGTGTGCTGCTGGGAGTTTCATTGTCCCTCCCTCCCCTTTGTCCCCCAGGACACAGCTCACACCGGCTTCCACCGCACGCGGCTGTGACTGGACGCTCTCTCTTGGCCTCCTTGTGGCCCAAGTGGCCATGGGAAGTGCAGGAGGATTAAAGACCCTGGTAGCAGCCTTCACCCCCTGACTGAAGGAGCTGGTAGATAAACATCCCTCGATCCTCGATGGGATGGTGGAGGCGTGTGTCCCACTCGGCTTCCCGAGCGTCCAGCAGGATTAAGTTCCAGCTGCCCAGAGGGGCGATGGCCTGTGTGCACTTACCCTTCCCGCCACCTTCCTTTCCGGGCCCCCACCCCCACCTGCTCCCTGTTTCCACCTGAGCTTCTCCCCTGGGGCTGGGACACTCCATCACCACTCCATAGCCCAAGCTGTGCCCCTGCCCACGATGTCCTTTACTTGCATCTTTCACCCACAGCCTGTCTCTCCCTACCACGCACCCCCTTACAAAAGCTGTCCTTATCACCTGGGCCAGCAGGAGCCACCTAGTCCTCAACCAGCCCTCCGGGCTCACCTAGCACCCCATCCTTGATGGGTGTGTGTGTTTCCCAGACACACAGAGGCCCTGAACCCCCAAAGTGGCCTCCATTTCTCTGCAGACCCTTTCCACCCATCTCCGGCACAGTGCAGAACTTCACAGATGCTGGTTGAAAAGATAAATATTATTATTATTTACATCAGCCACCCCCATCTCCCAGCCCTGCACCCCCAAAGCCCTGGCTGTCCCGTGAGGGCTGGGCCAGTCTATGCCTGGGGTGGATGCGATCAGCTGACCCAAGGGCCACTTGTGCTGCTCCAGGCGCTGGGGCCTGAGGGTCCTGCCCTTTCTCCTATCTTTGCGCAGCTAACAGTGCGTCCCCAGAGGACATCCAGGGGCAACAAGCTCTCTGTGACCAGCAGAGGGGCTGCCCAGAGGCCAGGTCACTTCAGTCAGCAGGCTGGATGGTCCTCTGCATTCTCCGCCCCTTCACAGGGAGACCGGCTTTGGCTGGGGCACACCCCAGCCCCCATCTTCTCACAAAGGTGGAGACACCTGGGGCAGGTGGTTAGGGAGAGGGAGCTTGTGTGGCCCGCAGGACAGTAAAAGTCCAAGGGTGCAGCGAGGCAGGGCATTTCTGGTGGCAGCACCACAGGGCCAGATGACGTTCTGGTGGCGTGGGAGGATTTCTGGTCACGTAGCCTGATGTCTGATGATGCCACCGATTTCTAACGTCTCCAGGGCTCTGACAGCAAGCCTTGGTTCCCAGCGTTGTTGGAAGGCATTGCTAAGGCCCGGAGGCATTATCTCCGTGGTTGGGATGCTGTTCCAAGAGTTTCCCATGGTGCCCCTGGGGCAGCGAATACCCCCACAGTGCATTGGCCACCTTGTGCTCTGGGAGGACACCTCTTGGAGAGACCCCTGTGCTGCTTTGGATGGCCTGGCTCCCCATTCTCACTCCACTTGCCAGGGAGGACTGGGGGCCGGGGGAAGCCAGAGGCTCTGGGCCCAGCCGAGTCCTATAGCTTATTTTCCAATTGTCCCATGGCCCAGACTGTGGCTGCTCTCAGAGGCCAGAACTCCTGCTCAGCTGGGGGTCAGGGAGGGGCCTCCCAGGTCTCAGGGCCAGAATGGGGTGGGGAAGGAGCTGGTCCCCTCCAGACACAGCCTTCTAGCTCAGACCCCCGTGGACTGCTTGATGCTGTGAAAGCTGACACGGGTTGGGGAGGTGGGGATGGACATGGCGCGGGCCACCCGGGCGCGGATCGAGTGCTTGTCCTGCCATCGGTGCCACCTCTTCCGGATGGCAGAGCGGACCTGTGGGCATAGAACAGACCATAACGTTCGAGCCCAGTCACAGGAGGGCCCTCCCTCGCTGAGGGCTGCCACAAGCCGCTGTAAGGCAAACAGCTATGCAGGTGAGCAGTGCACAGGTGTGAGGTGCACAGGGGGCCACAGGAACATCGGGACTGTTTTCTCAGGTGTCCCGAGGAAGGAATGCCTTTTTCTAACCCACACAGTGTCTTTGCCATGAAGAACCCCTACCCTCAATCCACATGCATCCCCTGCCCGAGGGCTCAGCTTCCTGGCTTTCAACAACCCATTTCACAGACCCATTGATAAGGCTGAGGCCCCAGCTCTTCCCCCCTCCCAATGTCAACTGCCTAAGTGAGCAGAGGAGGAGGCTTGCCACGGCAGGAGCAGCGTGGGCAGGTGGCCCGGACCCTCCAGGGTATCCCTAGAGGAACCTGGGGGCAGGGAGGAGGGCCAGCATGTGGGGGCAGAGGGAGGCTGCAGACCATCTCTCCTCCCAACAGGCCTCCTGCCATTCTGAACCCCAGCCCGGGGTCCTTACCTCGCTGTTGAGGAAACAGTAGAACACAGACACGAAGAAACCCTGGGGTGGAGGAGAAGGTGGGTCAAGGCACTGGGCTGAGTGGCCCCACTCAGCTTCCGGGCAGCCCCTTCCCTCCCAGTGTCCTGCCCCTCCAGGCCCCTGTCTGGGAGAATGCCCACCCCTGGAGGTGTGGGGTGGAGGGTGGGGGGCAGGACCAAGAGGGGAAGGCGTTGGTACCTGGAAGGACTCCAGGAAGGAGTTGAAGTAGATGAAGACGACCCGGGAGACCTCGTCTTCCCCGGGGTTGACAAAGAACAGCATGTAGGTGATGCCCAGGAGGGGGAGCAGTACCAGAGTGGCCTTCACAGCCTTCCTGGTGGAGGGCGGGGAAGCCAGAGTCACAGCCCACCCCCGAGGGGGCTGGGGTGGGAGTCAGTCCCCAGTGTCTGAGATGGGGGGGGGGCTGGGGTTTCAGGAGGGACTGCCAGGCCTGGGGGAAGACCCTGGGTAAGGACTCGGATCTCTGGAGCCCCCAGGGGTGGGGGACACAGGACCACTTACCTGTACTGAATGGTCTCAGACGTGGTGGACGCCCGAAGTTTGGTCATGAGGATGCGGACGATGTTGAAAAGGAAGATAAAATTGATCTGCAAGTGAGCACACAGGGGGATGGTGTAGGCATGTGTGTGTGCAAGATGCTAGGGACTTAGCCATCTCAGGTCTGGTCCTGGTCCCCCCTGCTGCTCTCCCGCCACCTTCACTAGCACTCGAACATTCTAGGCAGAGGGATCCTTGGGGTCCACATCGGCTCTGATGGCCCCTCCCGACTGCCCCCCACCCAGGTTCTTACCAGCAGGACCAAGATCATGGGGCCCTGGTAGATGTAGTCGGTGTAAACCCCAGGCCTTTTGCCAAACCAGCACCTAGAAGGCCACAAATAGGAGGTGAGAGGAGGGGGCCATTTGGGTCCAGTTCAGTGGCATAGGGGAGGGGCATTGCTAGGCCAGGGCAGGACTGGGGCCGGAAGCCAGGCTCTGGGTGCCCAAATTCCAACCCTGGCCAAAGGTCAAGCCACTGATCCCACCACAGTGCTCAGTTATCCCGTCTGCAGCATGGTCGGCATCCTCTATCATTAGATGTAAAGCTGGAAGCAGGCAGTGTGGCAGGGAGATCATGGAAAAGACGTCCGAGTGGAGCAGGCATGGGCCCAACACACCACTGCCCCCTCGGTCCCCAAGGTGTCTCCGGCACAAGCCCACTGGTGGTGCCCTGCCCTGCCCTGTCACGTAGTGGCCCCCAACAGCTAGCAGTCTCCCAGTCTGCAGTGTGACCAGCCTCGAGGCAGAGCTTCCATAGATCCCACCGTCCCAGGAGGCAGACTTGCTTTGCGTTTTCCTGAGCTCCCTCCAGCAAGCTCTAGGAAGGTCAGGGGAGTGAGGGGGACAGGGCGCACAGAAAATCCCACCTCCGTGCCTAGAGGAGGGTCTGTGGGCATGGAGCCCCGCAGCGCCTAGATCTCATGATGCTTCCATCAACCAGAACTGAGATTTTTTAGGTGGAAAATCTTAACTTTTTAAAGATTGACAGCAAATTCAAAAAACATGGTGCAGACCAAACGTGAGCTGTCTGGAGTCAACTCCAGTCCTTGGCCTTGAGTCTGGATTCCTCCTGCTGCAGTGGCAGCATTTTGCCACAAGGTGGGGCTCCAGAGTCACTCAGACCAACTTCTCTAGCTCAGGCATCCTTTTCCCTCTAGGATGCTTACTGGGCAGCTTTGGGGAAAAGTTCTTCCACTTCTCCCCTGTGCTCACACCCACTCCTGCACACCTGCAGGCACAGACCATCGCCCAGGGGTTACGATGCTCCTGCTCAGGGGCTCTGGCCCACAGTGGTGTGTCAGTTACCCGCCTCCCAGAGTCAGGAAGGATCGCCCTGGTAAGTAATGAACATAATTTTCTAGGCTCCTTGTCCATCCCAGTGAGGCTATGGTGGCTTCCCTACTCTACGATGGTGGGGAGAATTGTCACTGATGAAGGCCGCCTGGAACCCCAGTCAGACAGTGGGTTCCTGAAACCACTATCTCAGTGGTTCTCTTATCTCAGGTGCACAGTAGAATCACCTGGGCAGTTAAAAAACATCCCGGTGCCCAGGCCACACTCTGGACCAATTACATCCAAGCCTGGAGGTCAAGCCTGGGCATTGGTAATTTTTAAAGCTTCCTGGGTGACTCTAATGGGAGCCAAGGCTGAGAACCCTGAGTGGAAGCCTAGTTGTCAGGGGCAGCTGGGAACACCTGTATCCATTCACTAAGGCGCCTCAGGACTTCAGAGCTGGAAGGGGTCTCTGAGATTGTCTGGATCAGTTGCTATTAAGTCTTAAAATTAATAGAAAACATTTGTACGGCATATACTATGTGCCAAGTACAATCCTAAATGCTTACTATATATTAACTCACGTCATCCCCACCACACCCTGTGAGGGAGGCACTATTATTAAGATGCCCATTTTACAGACGAGGAAGCTGAGGCACGCTGTAGTAAGTATAGCACCCAGGTCGTACAGTTTCTTAGTGATGGAGCCACGATTCAGGCCCTGAACAGTCTGGCTCCACAGGCAGCCGGTAACCCTCCTGTGGTTCTGCCTGGGACAGCCCAAGACAGAGCAAATTGCCTGGATCCGCCTGTCCAGCCCCCCCTCAGGCAGAGCACCCCAGGGAGCCTCGGATTGAGCCCAGCCCCAAGCTCCCTCTCTTTATAGATGAAGAAACTGTGGCCCTGACAGGGAAGGTGACTGCTGAAGGCCCTGGAGGAGTGTCAGGCAGAGCTGGGCTGAGAGCTTGGACCTGGGGCTGAGGGCCCCTGAGGCAGTGAAGGAAGGAGCTGACTTACTTCTCATTGTCGTAGTACAGCTTCCCAATGGCCCAGGCCACGATGATGGGGAAAGGCACACCTGGGGAAGAGAGCGCAGTCACAGAGCCACTCGGAGGGGCCTGGAGGACCCCAGTGCATCCCAGGGCCTGGAGGCAGGCTGGGGTCCCCAGGGTAGAGCTGGGACCCACTCTTCCAACATACCTCCTTTAAATGCTCCCTCCCCTCCCCGCAGCTAGGGGCAGAGGGCTGTGGTGTACATTCTGTCACCCTAACCTGGCCCTGCAGCCAGCTGGCCTGGGTCTGGGTGAGGAGAGGGGAGTCTGGGATGGGGCGGGGGGCTAACCCCAGCCAATGAGGATGAACATCCACTTGCGCAGCCGGTCGGTGGAGTACGTGAGCACGATGGCCGTGTGCAGGTAGCAGCCCTCCCCAAACATCCAGAAGAAGTTGGTCACATGGAAGTAGTTGTAGGCGGCTGTCACCAACCTGCACCAGCCCTGCCACCCCGCCCCCACCAGATATGACAGTGAGCGCGGTGGGGTGGGGTGCAGGGGACAGGTGGGGGCAGCACCCGCATCCCACCCTGGGCCTGGGGCTTCTCCTGGGCAGGATGGGCCACTTCTGTGGGCCCCAAGGCCTGGCTCTGGCCCTGCCCCTCCCCCTCCAGGACAGCCCCACCCGGACCCCTCCTCTGACCCCGGGCCTGCCCCTCCAGGACATACCATGTTGCTCTGGTGGACTTCGGGGCTCATGGTGAGCTGGACCACGAACCACGTGGCATTGCGCAGGATGAAGGCCGAGATGAGGTTCCAGTGGATGATGTTTCTGAGGCAGCGGATGCTCCTAGGGGCAGCAGGGGAGGTGGGTGTTGGGAGCAAGGGGAGGGGAGAGAGGAGGAGGGATAGGCCGCAAGCACCACTCCAGCCCAGATATATGGGTGGGGAAACTGAGCCTCAGAGTGGGGCTGACTAAGTCACACATGGCCCTTCCTACCTGTGACCCGCCCAGACCTAAGCTCTGGGGGCAGAATCTGCCACAGCCAGTGCTCCAGGACCAGGGGCTGCCCTTCTCCCATGGGCACTCCTCCCCTCCCTGTGGTTCCAGGTTCGAGGGTCAGAAAACACACAGGCCTCCAGTGGGACGTCTCCCTGCTGCTTTCAGCCTGATGCTTTGGCCGTCCCCCCGCCCCCTCCCTGCCCCTGGCAGTTACTAGGCAAGAGGGCAGAAGTGGCCCTGTCCGAGGTGTCCAGAGACCTGGGACTCTACAGCTGTCACCCCCTCCCACGGAGGTGAGGGGCGGGACTCCCCTGCCCAGCAGCCCCTGCACCTGACTTCTCCCCCTGCTCAAGGCCCAGGGACAGTGCCAGGGACTGCTCACCTGAGCCGCAGAAAGAGGACAAAGGCCACCAGGAGGGCCACCAGGGAGACGCAGTGGCCCAGGTAGTTGATGATGATAGCGACATGGTAGTGCACCTTGTTCTTCTTCTGAGGCCAGAGAGAGGGCAGAGGTGAGGCTCCCGCACAGCCCCACCCCTGCGCCCACTGGCCATGTGAGCAAAGACCCAACGGTGGCCGGGGACAGAGTGGGCAATGCTAACAGTAGTCACCCCCTCCCTGAGCCCCATGTGCCTCACGTTGTCCTGGAGCAGCACTGTGTAATTTGGGACTGTGTCTCCCTGTCTGTCTGTCCCTGAATCCCACGCTCTGTCCACTGCTCCGTGCTGTTGGACGAATGTCTGTTAACTGACAGGGACCCCATTCTGCATGCACAGACGCCTGTGCATGGCTCACAGGGGTGCTCACACATTTCCATTCAGGTCAAACTCTCTGGCCCCGGGGGTGCAGACACCAACTCTCCAGGACTTCCTTCCTCCCCCCACTTCTGGGTGGAGCCACCACCTCCTCCATCACCCCTCACTCCCTCCTGCTGTAGCTGAAGCCTGCCTCCATCAGCGACGGGGAGAGTGGCTGTGGATTAGCATCCACAGAATCGGTAGAAACCACAGAACCCCTCTCAGGTTCTATAATTCCCTGTCTAGGTCCCACCCCGGCCCGAAGTGAAGGGGATCCTGTCCCAGGACTAGAACAAAGTCCCCAACGTTATAACGTCATTCATTTCATATATCGATGGTCCTGAGGGATCAAGTCCAGCCCCATCCATCTTTCAGATGAGAAAACTGAGACCCACACTCACTCACCCAAGGGACGTGCCTCTGCAGTGGGACATCTAGCAGCTATCCGATGGCGCCCTCCCTCCCTCCCTCTCCCTGGCCCTGCCCCACCCCTGCTGAAGGGGCAGCCTCACTGCAGGGCCTCTGAGGTCCCAGGCCCAGGTGCTCAGAGGCTCTGCTCTAGAGGCTGGTTTCCCTGGCAGAAGCTTTCAGGAACCTGGCAGGAAGTCACATGAGCAACTCAGGCTCGGAGGGGCTGAGACCCAGCGAGGTGTAAATGGAGGCAGGCCAGAGAGACAGAGCGAGAGGAAGGGGGCCGTGCACATGGGGAGGGCCTCTGAGCACCTGGCAGCAGATGCCAAATCTGGAGACTCTATGCACACGTCCAGCCTGGCGCTTAATTACTTTTATTAAATTCTCCACAAATCCGCACGGTGAAGCCCCTGGGTAATAACAACGTGTGGGAGCCCTGGCCCAGGTGAGTGATGGGCACAGTGTGCAGGGAGCCCCTCCACCACCACCTGCTGTCAGCTCCCCCCCCAATCCCCCAGTAGGCCGTGCCAGGGTGGTTTGGGGTGAGATGAATCATGTATTAAGTACCTACTGTATGCTGGACACGGAGCCAGGAACTCTACAGATGTCACTGCTTTTCTTTCTCATAACTGCCCTCTGAGACTGTCCTTCTGTCCCTGTTTTTCCAGTTGAAGAGGCTGCATCATCAGCCCAAGCCACCCAGCCAGCAGGCACATTCCAGGACTGCGTGGTCTTAAAGACCCTGCTTCCCCTGTCCCCACGGTGCACTTCTTGGGGGACAGGCAGGGACGGAGAACAGAGGCACTCTCCCTGCCCCGGGCTTCTGTAGGGAGGATGGGGACTCATGAGGCTGAAAGGGGAGAATTGGACCAAACCATTCAAGGGCTGCCCCTGCGTGGCTCCTTGGGTTAGAGGCCCAGGCTGGGTTCCAGCCCTGTCTCAGCTGCCACATCAGCCTGATGCCATCTGAGGAGTAGCAAGCCATCTGGGGGTGGGGGTGGGGGTCATCGAGCAGAGAGCCCGAGAGGGTGTTGGGCAGATGGCAATGTTACCTCAAGAGATGGGCAGAGATAGTCAGCAACACCCTGAAAGGTGGTCCGTGACACCCAGAGAGATACCCAGGATGTGACATTCCAAGAGACCTTAATGACACCTGAGAGACAGTCTGACCTTCGAGAGAAAGCCACCACTACCTACAGGAGCCGCTGGGATGCCCGAGAAACATGTGGACACAGCCCATCCCTGGGGGCCTGACCAGCACCCTGTCCCTGTTCAGTTTGGAGACCTGAGACTGAGGAAGGTGGCGCAGTGTGGCACTGGGGCTTTTCGGGTGGTGAGGGCTGTGGGCCGTCTCCCCAGCCTGGCCTCTGGGCGCCCTCACAACTCCCATTTCACAGGCGGCTGGTCTGCCAGTCCATGACCTACAATCAATCCCTCCGGGCATTGGCGCTTAATTAGGGCTTATCCAGGGCCCAGAACTGAGAAACCAAACGGGGTGCTCGGTTAATTGCAGTAGCTCCGAGAGGAAATGGGGAGTCCTGGGAGTGGGGAGGGCGCTGGCAAGGCTGGGGGCTGGCTTGTATTTGAACAAGTGCTCCGGTGATGCTTATTCCCAGGCAAGATGGGATGGAGGGTCTCCAGGGTCCCGTCCAACTTAGATCCTTCAGGCACAGGAATTCCCAGGACTGCCTGGTCCAGCCCCTCTCTTCTACACCCCAGAAGCCTCAGACAGCTTGGGGCATCCTCCCTTCTGCCCCAGGCTTCCAGCTCCATGACCCCCTTCTTCAGCTCCCTCTGAAGGGGTGGGTGGAGATGTAGGGGCAGGGACAGGGGGGCAGGGCAGCAACACCAGGAAGATGGATACACCCGTGCATCTGCCAAATCTCAACCTTGAAAGTTTATTCATTGCAGCACTGTTGGTAGCAACCAGAGACTGAGAATAAAAAATGGGTAAATAAATTACAGTCCATCTGCAGGAGGTGATATTATGCAAATGTAAAAAAGAATGAAGTTGCTCTTTATGTACTGGTGTGAAACAACCACCAAGGTGGATGCTTACATGTAAAAGGCAAGGTGTTGAACAGGGTGTATAATATGCAACGTTTGGGTGAAAACAGAAAAGAATATAGGCACCTAATTACTCGAATATGCAGGGAATGTCTCTGGGAGAACATTTAAGAAACTGGCAAAATGGCCCTAGCCGGTTTGGCTCAGTGGATAGAGCATTGGTCTGCAGACTGAAGGGTCTCAGGTTTGATTCCTGGTCAGGGCACATGCCTGGGTTTCAGGCTCCATCCCCAGCCGATCAATGATTCTCTTTCATCATTGAGGTTTCTATCCCCCTCTCCCTTCCTCTCTGAAATCAATAAAAATACTGGCCGTGATCGTATAGTGGTTAGTACTCTGCGTTGTGAAATCAATAAAAATATATATTTTTAAAAAGACACTGGCAAAATGGTTGTCTCTGGGAGAGATCCCAGTGGCTGGGTTGAGAGGGAGACATTCTCTGTATGCCCATCTGTACCTTTGAATTCTGTATTATGTGTAAGCAACATCTTCTCAAAAACATTTGCCTATTTAAAAGGCTCTCCAAAGGGCTTTTTCGAGCCCTAGCTGGCTTGGCTCAGTGGATAGAGCGTCAGCCTGTGGACCGAAGGGTCCCAGGTTTGATTCTGGTCAAGGGCATGTACCTCATTTGCAGGCTTCTCCAGGGCTCGGGCCCTGGTCGTGGCTCATGCAGGAGGCAACCAATCAGTGTTTCCCTCCCATCGATATTTCTCTCTGTCGTTCCCTCTCTCTTCCACTCTCTAAAAATCAATGGGAAAATATCTTCGGGTGAGAATTAAATAAATAAAAGGGCTTTTTCAAGCTGCACTCTTCCCACTCCCACCCCCGATTCTGATATAGCCCCTGGCTGCACCTGGATATGTCGCTCAGGCGGGAGAGGTGGAAAATGGATGAAAACCTGTCCCAGTGAGCAGGTGGAAGGAGGGAAGGAAGGAACAAGGACACCTTGCATCAGCCTGCCCACTGCCCACTGCCCACGTGGCACAGCCTCCCTCCTGGATACATGAGCTTGAGTTCCCAGGGCCTTGCCATCAGCCTCTGGCTCCCCCACCCTGACTGGCCCCCAGCCTAGTAGCAGGCACGACCTCGGCTGGGGGCCCTGGTAGCCGCATGGCAGCCTCACCTCCTCGCTGAGGATCTCCTGGCACTCTGAGTAGTTCACGCGGGCGGCCCAGCTGCCGTTGGCCAGGCACTCTCTGTAACCGTTGTCTGGACAAAGGAGAGAGAGGCAGAGTGACCCGCGGTTCCTCTCCCAAATAGCAACTAGGGATCTGTCTGCCCCTCCCCCTGTCCATCTATCCATCCACCTGGGCTAGCACAGGGCCTGACTGCTGGTGAAGCTGGGGAGAGGGGCTTCCCTACTACCCCAGCTTCCTGCCTCTTTCTGCCCCCTGGTTCTAATAGGGGCCCAGTGTGGACTCCAGCGCCTGACCATGGGGGCACGGCTCTGCCCACTCGTGCTGGCACGATCATGCCCACGAGACTGGCCCTTGGGCAGTCTTGACCAGCTCACTGGGCTCTTCCCTGCAAGCCCTTATGTGGTGGCAGATTATGTGGTGGGTGCCCTTCTGAGGACTTTCCCATTTTGGGGTCTCTCGTGACAGCAGAAACGAATGGTGAGGTCTGATGAGTCAATCTCACTCCTGAGGCTGGGCATGATATGGCGGAAGGGTATGTGGTGGCAGCTCATGTGGCACAATGCAATGACAGGGTGTCCTATCGTGACTATTGCAGTGAGGCTCTTGTGGGGGGTCCTCACGTGCTCCACGGGGGTGAGGCTCACGGGCAGGTGCCGGGGAAGGCCCCCATGGGGGCATTTCTCCATGTTGGGAACATCCCTGGTGGAGGTCTCGTGGGACAGGAAATAACAGGTAGCAGGGGTGTGCTGGGGACCTCACAGGGGGTGGGTCTCATGTAACAAGTGTCTCATTATTAGGACCTCTACAGCTGGCTCACAGACTGGCACATGGCAGTGGGGAGAAAAGACAGAAGAGTGGCCCAAGGAGGGGTGGGGTCTGTGCAGCCATCAGCTGGACTACAGCCCAGGACCTGTCACCGTCTAGGGATGGGGAGGAGCCCCATGGTCTAAGGCCTGGATTCAGGCTCTGGGATAACAAGAGCTGCACAAAGGGCCCCCCTGGGCGTGTCACCGGGACTCTGAAACCCAGTAGGGAAGGGACGAGAGAGATCCCAACTTCAAGTCTTTCTCCTTTGCTGGTAAAGGTAGTCCTGTCCCACCCTGTACCCCATCCAGCATCAGTGGCTCTAAAGATATTTCCTTGACTTAATTCCTCACTCCAGGCAGAACTGGCTGGAAGGGAATTGAGTCCTGAGCCATTTCTGCTGGAGCCTCTGTCCTGCTGCAGGCCTTTCCACAGTTCCCACTGACCCTCATGTCACAGGGCAGGAGGACGGCTAAGAGAACTGTCTGAGTCCCAGTCCCTGAGCCTGGGGCCCGGCAGGGGCAGAGCAGTGTGTGAGACAGAGGTGGGGGCCCAGGGCCGGCTCAGTGCTGCTGTGCTGCGTGAGGAACTGGGGCCCGCTGGCCTCTGGAGCCCCTCTGCTCATGTGCACCAGGGAGGGCTGGACTAGTGGACCCCGACGGGGCCGTCCAGCCTGGGAGCTGCCTCTCCGCTGGCAGCATCAGGACCAGAGGGAGATGATGGTGTGGGCGGTGGGGGGAGATGCTACTGCATCACCGAGAGAGGGAGACAGGGTCTGGCCTCCAGGGCTGCAAGGCTGTGAGGCCTCCTCGCTAACCCCGCTCCCCAGCCCCTCTGCTGAAAGGCCGCTCACGCCTCTGTAGCAGGCCAGTGGGGAAACAGGCTAAATGGGTTTTTAAAGCTCTGCTCAGCTTCTCTGCCAGTGGGCCTGAGTCTCAGCGGAGTTAAGCCTTGGGCAGAGGTGGCTACGATGCTGCTCATTCTCTCCTAATTGCTAAATGAAGGATAAGCTACCAGAGCGCTGAGAGCTTAGTGACAGGGTTTTTAGGGGGGTCTGGGGGGAGGCAAGGAACCAGGGGATCCAGTGTCTCTGCTGTGTCTGCAAAGAAAGGGACTTGGGGGAGTGGTTCTTGCCTAAGCGAGGCAGAACAAAGCCGTGTTAAGAGCATGGCTCTCCACCCAGACAGTCTGGGTTCAAAATCTGGCACCGTCCCTCACTAGCCATGTGACCTTGGGCAAGTCACACAACCTCTCAACTTCCTTACCTGAAAGACAGGAATGATCTTAACAGCTCTACCGATTGGTTGAGTGAGCATTGTAGTTAACTATGCAGAGTGCTTGGAGCTCCACTGGCCGGTGGTGTGAGCTGTGATTGTTATTATTATTGTCTTGGAGCTGTATTTACATATCAAAGGGGGTACTGGTGGGGTTAACAAGAGCCATGCTCTTAGCCTAAGCCCCAATTCACACCCCACATGTGGGGCCAGGAGCTGGAGTCCCTACCCGGCCGGGTCATCCAGAGGGAGCAGGCTTTGGTGGGGAGGCAGGAGGCGATCCTGAAAGAAAACAGGCCTGACAAGCAGGGAGTCGTTGCCAGGGAGGATGCGACCTCCTTGTCTTTGATTGCTGAGCTGAGCAGTCTTCCCGGAGAATCATGGGAAAATGGATATTTTTGGAAATTTTCCCCATGTCTTTGAAGATCAGATGCAGCGGGAAGGAGGGCATTAAGGAGAAGGCCAGGAAGTCCCAGCAGCACCTCATCAGTAAATAAATTAATTAGTGTTTAATGATTAGGTGCAACTCTGGGTTCTCACTCACTATTGATTGCATGGGCGTGTTCCTCACTGTTCAGCACTAGGCATCTGGAGAGGGGGATCTGCCAGCCCAACCCCCATGGCTAGGGACCATCGCCCCCAGCTCCTCTCCTGGGATCACAGAGGGAAGACAGAGGAGGCCAAAGAGCACCCCACCCAAACCTCCCTCTCACCCTGCAGGTGGAGCAACTGAGGCCCAGTGCGAATGCCAAGGCTCCTTAGGCAGTTATACACGGAGCTGGGGCTGGAACCCAGGACTCCTGGCTTCCATTTAAGGCAGGGCTGGCGAATTGAATGGCACATGCCCAGGCACTAAGTTCTGAAAACACTCACTTTGGGGCGTGTCAAGTCATCCTCGGGGACAAGAGTGGAGGAAGCTCATAGGGAGTGGCCAGGGCCGGCTATAATTTGGTGGGGCTTCAGCTAGAGAGAGCCTGGCCAGCCCCACTCAGGGGTATGGACTTGACCATGGAGGCAATGGGGAGTCATAGAAAAGGTGACTCCAAACAAGGGTGTGATGGGCTCAGATGCAAAACAAAGGTTAGAGATCGGGTGCCTTGGACAGAGACAGTGGCACTGGGACTGGGGGCAGGGAGGGCTAGACATGAAAATCACTTTGGAGGTGAAAGGCAGGACCTGGTACCTGAGAGGGAGAGGGACCTCCCTCCAACACACCCCCATAATGCACCAGCCCCAGTGCTGTCTCCTTCCTGTAGGTACACAGCATTGTGGGTGGAGTAGCAGGAGGGCTCTGACTCTCAGTGTGGTCCTGCTTCTAAGCTTTGTGACCCTGGGCAGCTAACAGCCTCTGCCTCCATTTTCTAACTGTGAAATGGGCCCTACTAAACTGGAGGCTGGCCGCTGTGCACCCCAAGCTTTCCTCTGAGGTCCTTCTGCCCTTCCTCTTGACTGATGTCCCCCCACACCCCTAGCAGTCTTTCTTCTCCTTCTGTGGGTTCCAGGCACATGAAGCTGCTTGGTCTGGCTGTTCCAGCCTCCTCTCTGGCCCCAATGCCTCCCCAGGGCCCTCCAACCCTTTCTTGGCTGCAGCCCCCAACCCTAACCTTAGTCCAGCTGGTAAAGGAGAGAGGGGCAGGAGATGGAACTTGGGAGCTTTGAGCTAATGAAGTATTAGAAGCCATGTCATCCATCCCTCTCCATCCTCAGAAAGGGGGCAGAGGGCCATAAGAGGGGGGAGATGTGCTAAAGGTCACATAGCCTGTCTCAGAGTGAACCACCTGGTGTCTGTGGCCCCCCTGTACCCTTTTGGGGCCCTGAGCTCAGGCCCACCAGACCCGGGACCCCACCCTCCCCTTGGACAGGTCGGGACTCTGGCCTGCAGGTGTTGCTGTCTTCATAGGCAGGGGCTGTGAGTCATTGACAGGGGAGAGCAAATTAATTCTGAGGGTGACAGGTGACATAGCAAGGAGCTGCAAAGCCTGGAGGTGGAGGTTCTGGGCCTCAGGGGAGCAAGGTGTTTACAAAGGGATCAAATATCTGAACACTGGGTTAGTCCTCCCCTACCCCCACGCCACCTGTGGGCCAGTATGCGAGGCCAACATGGCTGTAGATCATGACTCAGAGTCCTCCGCCTCCAGGCTCATAACCTGGCCCGGCCTCATAACAGCTCTCAGCTCAGGGTTCTCATCCCAAAGTTAGGCCTGTTCTGAGGATTCCCGCCCTCCCTCATGGGGTTGTTGGAGGCTCAAGTCGACTTTGTCAACTGCAGAAGGAAGTGTCACACAGACCTGGATGCAAGTCCAGCTTCACCTCTTCCCACCTGGTGACCTTGGGCAAGTTTCCTAACCTCTCTGAGCCTCAGAGGCCTCAGTTGCATAATGAACACTATCCAGTTATATATAGTGTCTTCCGGGGGTATTGTGAGAATCCACAATGTGAGCACACAATGCCCAGCAGAGCAGAGCTGGCCTTTGGTAAATGGTAGCTGCTCTATTCACGAGAGGTACTGTTATTATGGTTTTTGTCATTATTATTTCCCCCGTCTCCACCAAGTCGGTCCTCCACAGGCCCCCTTACTTGTGGTGTTGTAGCGGACACCGTAGAAATAGGCAGGGCAGGGTCGAACCACCAGCTGCCCCGCGGGGCTCTGGGGCCAGCAGGTGCCAATGAGGTCCACGGATGCATTGCACTGCAGTCCTGGGGGCAGAGACAGCTGGTGAGGCAGAGCAAGATCCCCACTCCAGTGTCCTCCCCACCTCCCGATAGGCCCACACACACCAACGGGGGACAGGACAGGAGCGATGGCCCTAGTGCAGAGATCGCTCATCCTATGCAGGGGAAGACACCAGGGAAGGAATCTGAATCTGATGCGATGGCACTAGGGAGCCAGAGTAGATTCCAGAGCAGAGGAGGAACAGAGATGGCAGGAGGTGATGTTAAAAGCTGAGGTCCTGACTGGCATTTAGCGGAAGGCTGGACATGCTTCAGGTCCCTCTGCTCTGTAACCTGACTTGGGGCAGACCTGAGCTCTCAGACTTCACAGAGTGGAAAGGAACCAGCCAACCCCTGACCAGTCCCCCTTACACATCTTCAGAACCAAACCATGTCTGCTCTAGCCCTGCAGGGAGGAACTAGCTAAATGAAGTTGGCCTGCCTTGCAGCTGGCCTGATGACCACATTTACTGAACACACACTGCTTGCACTGTCGTCTGCGCTGTGCCATGAGAGGACGGACGCAGAAGGGACCACGGGGAGAAAAGGCAGGAAGACACCATCCAGGGGAGCAGAAAGGACACTGAACCAGGAGTCTGGAACCCTGACTTCAGACTGGGTTGTGTTACTAATTTTCTGTGTGACCGTAGGCAAGTCACTTGCCCTCTCTGGACCTGAGTGTCTTTACAGTAAAATGAAGTGGTTGGATCTGATCAGAAATTCTTAATCGCAGTTCATGGAAGCTTTCAGGGTTCATAGAGACCCTGAGATTAAGTGAAAAACTTGGTCTATATGTGCATTTTGCTTAGGAAAGGGACCTTGGCTTTCATTAGATTCTCAAAGGGGCCTGTGACTTTTAAAAGGATGTAAGCAGATGAATTAGAAAGTGGAGTGTGTGTGTGTGTGTGTGTGTGTGTGTGTGTGTGTGTTGGGACAGAGTTGAAGCCACAGTAATACTTCTGGTCTCCAATGGGCAGGGGCTGGACTGAGCACATTCCTGGCTCCCCCTCCTTTCTCTGCCTTTTGATGCCTATCACTTGCATAGGGCTGGCACAGTGTGCCCAGGGTGCCTCGCATAATGGGAGGGGTTAATAACCTGGGGTGGCACACGAATGCACAGACAAGCCAGGGAGAGCCATGAACCAATGTGGGGTCAGCCTCTTTAGGTCTGGGCATCAGCAGCTGCCAAGCCCTGGCTGGGCCCACCTGCCATCTCCTCCCCAGCTTAGCTCGGCCCCAGTCTCTCAGGAAACAGCACTGGATTAGACTGGCGTCCTGTCCCTGCTGGATGCAGGGCAGTGCTGAGCAGCACTTGGACCAAATGCTGGTTTTTCATTTCTAATCAAAGCTATTCACAGGGTGTTCGTGCAAATCAGGGCTCAAGGGGTAGAGGCCTTGAGGCCAAGTGGTTTAATTGAAAGAGAAAGAAATCTGGACTGGGGCTTTATGGCTCTGAGGAGACGGTGGGCCAGGTGGCTGGGGTGGGCCAGGTCCTGGCACTGTGCCACAGCACAGCATCCCTGAATTGCTTCACGGAGTGAGGAAAGCATGTTAAGATTTTGATGTCATGGTCATGTCGATAGTGCTGAGCCCGGAAGAGGGAGTAACTGGAGGCATGTGGCCATGGGAATGGAGGGGTAATGTTATGAACCATGCTCTGCTTCTGTAAAACTTTCCTTCATATATTTTGTTGGATCCTCATCCACCCTACAATGTCATTATCCCCTTTTGACAGATGAGCAAACGGAGGCCCATGGAAGCAAGTGACTTGCCTGAGGTCATGAGTCAATGAGTGAAAGAACCAAGACACATAGTCACGTGTTTTGACCCTAAATCCAGTGCTCTTTCTATGACACCACATTTTGTGCCAATAAAGGGAAGGGGAACAGTCCACGAGGCATTGGGGAATGAGTAACATTTATTGAAGACTGACTGTGTGAAGGGCACTTGTCAGGCACTTTATATATACACCATCTGATTTAATGGCACCATCGGACCTTCCTCAGTAGGTTGTCCATTTACTCATTCATTCAAGTACCTCCTGAGCTAGGTACTGGGAAGATGAAACGGAATGTCATCTGTATGTCACGTGTGGCAGCACCTGGGACTTGCCTAACACACCCTCTCAGTCAGTCGCATTGCCCCTCCCTCTCTTCCTTCTCCCTCTCTTTCCTGCCTTGGACATTTCCCCAGAGTCCCTACCACAAAGAACAGAGGGCAGGGCAGAGCCAAGGCAGGCACCGGCCACCGAGCAGATGGCCCTTTTGGCCTTGAGGACCAGGCAGCAGCCAATGCCCCGAGCCCTGGCACCACCCACAGCTGGTCTAGGGTTTGGAGGTGAGAATGGGTAGGGCCGTCGCTATTTGCCCCTGGACTGTGGATTCTGTAGCACCTACTGTGTGGGTCTCACACCACCTGCCAACATGGGTGCTAATTCTCTCTGTCTTACAGATAAGGAAACGGAGGCCCAAGCAGTCACATGGCCTAGCCAAAGTCACGCAGACACTGAGAGGCATACGTGGGTTTTGAATGTTGGTGTTTAATGTCTGCCGAGGCTCTTCCCACTGCACCACAGCTGGCCCCAGCCTGGGCAGCCGGCCCTCATAGCACTTGATTTAACCCAAACAGACAGATCTGTTAAGCAACGAGAAATACTATGGAGAAAAAATAAGCAGGATGAGGAGATAGACAGGAGCTCTATTTTAATTGGTTGTGTCTAAAGCGCACTTAATGAGAAACCTAAAGGAAACGAGGGAGGGAGGCATGCGCATATCTGGGGAACAGTGTTCAAGACAGAGGAACAGCAAGTACAACGGTCCCGAGGC